CAAGAGTTACCCTCCTTGCTTGTAAACAGGGCCTAACTCTCTTCTGCACTGAATTAACTCTCTTCTGAAATAACTGAGGAGAATTTGCTAATACCTTTCTATAATATCAAGAAATGGATAGATATTCTAGTCTTCTCGGATAAGGATGAATAAACCACAGGCCCCGTCTCCTGCCGGGTTAGGGGTACAGGAGACGTTAATTTCCCACGCACGAGATTACTGTGTGGTGGATGTCCTCCCCCCTGGGGTGGGATGGGTGTACATTGGTTTACTGGGCCCGCAGTAATTGGCGCAAGCTGTTGTGGTGTCCCTGCCTGTTGGCGAATCTAATAAATTAAATCTAATGTCTAATATTTATTGTCAGTATAATTATACTAAAACAGTGGATAGCGTTGAAGGCGCGCTCTGATTGGCTAGTCACACTCCGAATATCCTTTGCTATTTACCTCCGAGCAACTCGAGGAAAAAATGGCGTCCCGGTTTGCATGCGTGACAAGCAAAGAAATCACTAACGACGGTGGTGTATATTATCTCACTGTTTTAGTATAATACTAAAACAACTATTCACCTCAGTATCTGTGGGTAGCGGTGGATATTCACCTCGCCACTTCGCGGCTTGGTAAATATCCATCACTAACCACCTCCACTTTGGTGAATAGTTGTTAAATATTTTAGGTTCTCTGTTCTGTAATTTCTAGTCCATCTTGTAAATGTACGAGGAGGTTAGACATTCTGCAACTTGGTACAAATTGTTCATGGTTGTACCCTTGGGGTGCATAAAAAATGTCTGTTTTTTTTATTTGGTTAGCACAGTAGCTATGTAGATTACTCATAACTAGATGTAATGTGGTACTTGCACTTGCCAAACAAAGTAAATCGTTTACCTTACATATTTTTCATCCTCTACCATCAGGAAACCAAATATGTGATTGTTGAAAGAGAACCCAGGGACAACATAATGTGGGTCTATCATGGCAAATGTGTTGAAGGTACAAGGCAAACAGATTATTTGCAGTCACTTTCATAAAATTGTTCATCCAAGTCACAGTTTTAATGTACACAATAACTGTATCTCATGTGCACATTCATTATATGCCATTCATTTCTGTTTTAACATTAAGAGGCAACTGCAGTTCTCATCCTCTTTCTTACAGCTTCTCTTTTTTTATTGTTGCCAATTATTTCTCCAACCTCCTTTAAGCACCCTTGTGTGCTATTCAAATGTTTTTTCTATTGAATTCTAACAACCTGAGTTGTGAAATGAAAGGCCCCAACTACTAGTAACAGGATTATAAGCTTTCTTCATTTAGCTATTTTGTTTTGAATCTTACCCCTGTGTCTTTGGCTGTGTCCCCTGTGCCATAATTTTCTTCTTTGCTTTTCAGTATTAAATTGTGAGTAATAATTGTATCTGACAATAAGTATTGTTTTATAAAATGTTTCTCACAGGGTTAACTCCAGCTAGTTCTGTTTATGGGAATTGCATCCATATTGAAGCCTTTGAAAAGTTGATGGAAAGCTTTTACAGGGAAAACAATGTCAACCCTTCACTTACCAGAGACACATATTCTCATGATTACACTTACCAGGTAAGATGAATTAATCTTTTGCTTTAGAAGGTTGAAATTTTGGAATTATTACGAACATAAATCTTGCTTTCGTCAACATTTTTCTGGTTATTTTTTTACTCATCTATATAATTTTGGTTTAAGTTAAATAATGTTAGAGAATAATTTGTGTTTAAACAACTAGGCCCTCTCTAGAGCACAGGATTTTAGTTTATTATATTCTTGGAGAAATGACAAGTGCATTTGCTGTAAATAGCAGTAAACATTTTTCTATTTGTACCTGTTGTTTAAGTAAAGTCTATCTGAAATGATTGTTGTATTTTGAATTCACAGTCTGCTTACTTTTTCTTCTTGCTGTTTTTCTATCTCAGGAGGAACATCATGACTTAGTGCCTTTGAATGGGAATAATTTTACAATGTTTGTACATGGCAATAAACAGCATGGAGTAGTTGGCCTTCAGGGTGCAGTTGTCACTTGCTTTATCTGTGATCACCGGCGTCACAACTGTGAGCATGTGACAAAAGTAGCAGAATGTTAGGGAACAATGGAACACGAAAGGCCTGATTTTCTGGTTGATTTTTTTGGTGAGAGAAATTCTCAAGAGTCTACTGAATCAGTTGCAGCAGCAACCACTCGTAAAGAATGGAAAATAAGATCAGTATCCTACAAAAAAATACCATAATCTATCAACAACACAAAAAAAAGTATTCTCCTCTCTGGAAGATGTTCTTTGTGGCAAAATTTTAACTACTAGTTTGGTGCTGCTTACTCCTAACTTGTCTCCCTCCTGCCCAAAGTGTTCGTTGCACTACATCAGTCAGACTACACAAGCTTTGTGCTTTTTGAAAAAGCAGACATGGCAATGTGAAGGAAAGAAATTCCTTGCATTAATTCGTTATCTCTTTAAGTGTTCAGATCGTGTTCACTGACATGAATGGGATAGAAATGGCTAAAAAATGAAAGCCATACAGGGAAGGTTGTCCAGGTAATGTGAAAATTTCAGTCAGATTTTAAACCAGTTGATTGGATGATAGCTGTTGCCAGCCTGGCGTGAGGCATCCATCAGGAGGAAAACCCTCAGGTTACAGCAAGCCAAATAAATGATTG